ATAATTTGGCAATTTCTTATGAAGTTAAATATACAACCTCCCTATTAAGAATTGCTTAAACTGGAATGTAGGTAGATTTTTCATAAATTACTATATGTGTATCAGCTTGTGTTTAAGGAAAACACTGAAATAAAATCCATTTTGATTTTAAAAGCAGAAGTCAGACATTTCAACATTCTTAACTCTATACAGAGATAAAATTAAAGGACAAGGACAAACCAAGGAGTCAAACAACTTCAACTCTTACTTGCATCCTTCTTTAATACTTTCAACTAAGATCTCACAGAAACACCAATTCATTACTGAAACACCAATTCATTACTGAAACTTCAAATGTCCAGATGTCAGGGAGGGAAAAATCTGAGGGAGGGCCACACCTAAGCTTCTGATAACTGTGCCTACAGGGAAGGTGAAACAAGCAATAAAATCCCAAAATAAATAGTCCCTCAGGTTCGGATGAGTTCTTAAAAATATTTTAGTCCTTTTAGTCCTAGGCCCCTTGGGAACCTGATGAAAGTTAAGATTCATGGACACACTGACGTGGACCTCAGCTGTTTCCGGGGAAAGACTGTGAAAAGTTGGGGACACAAACCCCAGCTACAAGTTCTCAGATGCACAATTAAGTGTTGAATGAGTAAAAGCTTAATAATCTATGAAAAGAGGACAAACACTGTTAAGTGGGGAAAACAATTGCTAATAAAGGGCCATATTTCTTACGTAAAGTAACTAAACAGCACTCACCTTTCTTTTTCAGAAAAGCCCATTTTCTTTTAACATTTATATTTACCCCAAAGAAAATGTCTTCTGCATCTGGTTGTGCCAAGGGCAGCTCAAACACAGCCTGTCCAGAATGAGCTCACCTTCTCAAAAACAATTTCTGCTTGAAATCTTTCTGCTTGTCACTAGCACCACTATCATCCCAATCAACCAGACCCAACAGTTCCATTTGTCTTCAGTTCTTTCTTTTTCTTCTCTTTCAGTTAGAAAACTAGGAATTAATAATCAATTAAGTCCTGCCGATTCCCAGCCATGTATACTATAGCTATTACTGTCTATGTGATGGGCACTAGAGATACAAAGATAAATAAAACACACCATGACCCTAAGGAGCTGAGAGTCAAGTGTCTCTTCCTTGATATTTTGCATCTACAACTGAAGTTTTAGAGAATCATTCTACAGTCACCTTTCTACAATCCGCCCTTGGCTGCTCCACCTTCCGTCAGCCTATTCATTTCTTTCTAAGACTCTAATTAGAATAACATTTTTGCTGACTGGTATGTTCTCTAAAATAATAAATTCATGATGTGATTCCCATGCTAGAAATATCTTTGTTGGGTTCTGCATACGTTTGGAAAACCTGTGGACTTTACTCTGATAATCAGAGATCTGTGTACCATTGGGAGCACCCCTATTGACCTATAAGTATCCCTTTTATCCCGAACACCATCTAGTATGAATAAGTTCACTGCTTTAGTGAAGCTGGTCTTGAAACTTATGCAAGTTTATTTCTGGGCCCATCACTCCTGTATCTCTCTCCCTTCCTTTCTACCCATCCTCAGAGGCACAGCACAGGTCCTGCCCCTCCCACAAAACGTTTCAAGAAATGATTTCCTGATATAATCCTGATATAAGCACTGATTATGCCCTGATATATGGAGGTATTTGTACAAATCACTCATTTTGACACAAAATTCTATATATATTCATAGTTTTATTTTTTGTTTCTCTAAACTGACTACAATTTCATTGAGGCCAATAAAATAAACCCTTGCATTATCCTTGTTTGCTTGTTTTCATGCATCCATTCTTTAATACACATTCCCTGGACTCTTACCCTGCACTCCGCCCTGAACCAGGCTGAAGGGTCTGCCGTGCTTTTACATGGCAAACCTTAAACAAATCTTTGTTGATAAATAAAATTTATCCCTTCTGCTAGCAAGGGTGTATTTATTTTAAAAAATAATTCATAAAAGCTCTCTTATTTTTACATCATGTTACCACAGAAGTTGCATAATTTTTAAATAGCCCTTAGGTTTGCTGCTGAGAGTTTGAGCAATCAGGCTGCAGATGGATTTAGGAAATATTCACTTGCTCATACTCTTCAGAATTTAATGTATCTTTTGTAATTCCTACTAAATAAACATTACCCTGATTTTTAAGCCTTACATTTCACTTTTCTTCAATTTGGTATAGAATGCTAAACATAAATAAAATAGAAAGTGATTTAGTTACTTCACATCTATAACAATGAGACATTTCTACAATACCAGCTTTATAAATAAGCTATAAACTCCCCAGATTTGGCAAGCTGTATTACTGAAAATTTAGGGAAGTGGGTGGTTTATTAAGATTTACTTGCACAGACTTCTCTTGAGAGTTTATATAATTTAGTTTACTAACAGGCCCATAAAAATACATTACAATAAAATAAATATCCAAGTAAAAGAATAAATATCATCATGACCCTTCTCTTGAATAACTATAAGCAGTAAGTATTATAGTCCCAGGTGTTACTTTAGTAGGGCCTGAAGGGATAGCTAGGCCACTGGGTGGTTGGCCATCATGGTTACTGACACACTTTTTATACTGAGATGATACCAAATGGAAAATGGCCATTCTGTCTGTACACCATCCATCATCTACACAGCTTCTAGCCATCATAATTTGTAGCAGTGGCTCTTACCCACACAGTTTTGGATTTGAAGTGACTCTTGATTTTTACTTTGAAGATAAAGAAAAATAAGGAGAGAAAGGAAAAGCCTTTAAAGGGAGCTCTTTTTTTGATTCAGCCAGACATTGCATGTGCAAACCTACAGAGGAAAAGCAACTCCAGATGATGGGCTGACCTCCTTCAGTTTCTCCTTCTTCTGGACCTTCTGTAAATTCTCCCTGCCTTGGTAGGGCTCACCAATGCCCTCAAGTAGGCATTGAGAATGTTTTGTTTTGTTTGTGTTGTTCTCAGAGGCTTGGTCTGAATCAACTTTAGAGCTGGAAGTAGCAAATCCCTTCCCCTGACTTTGATTATTGGTGTCACCACTCATCTAGTCTTTCTAGCTAATTATCTTGAACTGATTCTCAGTAGCTCAAAACCTCACTATCTTCCTCTTCCTTTTTGGCCTATTTATTCTACACGTGTAGAAAGGTCTCTCAGAACCAGGTCTTTTGCCACTCTTTGGCCCTGTAATTGTTTAGGTTACAGTTGCCTGTGCAACATTCTATCTGGACTCCCTGTCACTAAGATCTCTCAAATCTAGTCTCAAGTAGGACTATGTCTTCGTCTGTTTGACCTGCTATAACAGAACATTATGCCCAGGTGGCTTACAAACAACAGAAATGTATTTTCACAGTTCTGGAGGTTGGGAAATGAAAGATCAAGTTGCTGGCAGATTTGGTATCTGGTGAGTACACCCTTTCTGGTTCACAGACATCTGTCTTCTTGCTGTGTCTTTACATGGTGGAATGTTGGAGGGAGGAGTTGGGGTCTCTGTTATGAAATCATTAATCCCATTCATGAGGGATCTGCCCTAATAACCTAATCACCTCCCAAAGACTCACTTCCAAATACTATTACATTAGATGTTAAGTTTTTGACTTATGATTTTTGATGGGACACATTCAGAATACAGGGTCTGGCAAAAGTAGGTTTACAGTTGTGAGTACATGAAACACAGAGTTTTTTCTTGCATTATTATTTATTAATTATTGTAGTATTTTAGACATGAACAACTGTAAACCTACTTTTCCCCACTCTGTATAACAGTGTAGCATAAAACAACCTGGAAATAAAATAGTTAAACAAGAATCCCCTTTCCCTCCCTTCATCTTGAAGTGACAAGAAAGATGCTTAAGGGCATCCAACAGGAAGTCACAACATCCACATGTCTACCATTGGAGGGAAGATATTCACTTTTAGCTTTGACCCATTCAAGAGGTTTCTTTTTTGCCCAGTGAGAGCTGAGCAAAATCCTTCCAAAAATGGCAGCAGAATCAAAGGCCGCTGGTCCAGTGTGTATACTGACTGGATTTGGAACAGGCAGAGCCACAGCACCATGCAAACAAGAAGAGCTGCCTTCCAACAGTAAAAAAAAAAAAAGCCAAGCAGCAGATACTTCTCAGAGAATCTTCAGGAAAAGCAAAGTGTCCTTAGTAGGATTTTTAAGACATGATGCTTCAAGTAAGCTTTGAAAATATGAACCAGTACAAATAAAAATATATTTCTGGATTGTAACAGAATAAAAAACCTTGGCACAAGACAAAAACCTGTGTTTATGCACAGCAAAGAATCAGAATGTGAGGAAAACAAAGCCAAGCAAGGTAGACCAGGCAAGCACAGAGACTCTGGCCCAGCACCCCAATACAAGTGGGGGCTGGGGCAATGGGTTCCACATGTGTACCCACGCACACTCCGCAGCATAGTACTGTAGCATAGCTTATCTCTGCCTAGGTGGGCTCCAAGTCGTTCGATCATGGGACAGTTATAACTGACAGCCTGGTCTTGTCAGGTTGACAACTCCTCGTTATTATCTGGAGCAACTCACACTCCTGAATGTGGCTGGTATTAGAAAGGTAATGAGAAAAACTATGAAAGAATGTGCAGACAAAAACCAGAGTTTTTGTTCTAAAGTGATGAGATTATAGATATTCTTCCCTTCTATGTTTTCCAAACATTCCTAGTGCTAATTACATTTTATTTACAAAATAAATAAGTGCCAAATACAAATGGTACAAAAAAGGCAATATTCTCTAAAACATAATGCAAAGCATTAACAAAAACTTGTTAAACTTGGGAGCTTCATAATTAATTCTGAGAACAAAATTACAAATGTCTACATAAGTGATGGGGATGGGGTGCCACATGTCTCATGAAAGGGTCTTAGAATGAAATCATCCTGATTGTCACTAGGTTGCTCCTACTTTTCATTTTAACAACATGTTGCTTATTTTCCCTATAAAACAAATGTACATTTTTATCTCATATTATTTATGAAGAAAACTTTTACCTAAAATTCTCATATTCTTCTACTTGTCGTTTCCATGGACAGCTCTGTATGTTTGTGACAATCTGAAGATAGTCATCCTCTGAATACCTAAGAGTCAAATGTTAATGTGATTAGAAAATAAAGATCTCACAGACTGCTAAACAAATATACACATATTCTACAGGACACTTTTCAAATATACTCATTTTAATCCTCTAAATATTTTCTATAATAAGGGAAAGTAAAAATACGTAAATATCTATCCACTTCAAAACTTCTAGGAACATAAAATTCACGAAGAATTATGCTGATTTAGGAATGTGTAGTTTGCACATGTCACAGCTAGTATTATAAACAAACTGTGAGAGCATACCAGCTCATATTCATGTCTTATGACTATTTTATCTTAGCTTTAACTCACTGACAAATATATTTTATAGATATTTATCATAAGTATATAGTTTATCACTTTTTCAGAGTCTTAAGTTGATAGATTTACCTTGTGACAAATAGATAAAATTTCCCCAAAATAATTATCTTAAATTTTAATTCTGAACAGTACATTAAAAACCCAGGTTGGGCTCAATTAAGAAAGTTGTATATTGGCATAAAAATCTATAGGCACTGTGGTACAGTTTGGCAGGATCTCCATTCCCAATGAATTTCCTTCTACTTAAAATTCCATCATTAAGTATTAATTCTTTTATTCACAGAATAGCCTGTAGTCTCTAAGGGTTACCATTTAAAATGCAAATACCTTTTGGGTAATAAAAAACCCCATAATTTTTCTTTCAATTAATATCTTAGTCATTAGTTGTCAGATATTTGAGAGTAAGGGTCTTCAACAACAAGACAGAATATATGTTGGTGAGGGAGAGGGAAAGGAAAAGGACAGTAAAGAATCTTGTCAGGAAAATCACTCCCCTTCCCCATCCAGAAAAATGCAGACCCTCCAAAGTTATCTCAAAAAGGAAGTATGTGTGATAGGTGGGGAAGGTAGTCAACCAAGGAAATCCATTGCTCTTGAAATTTATCTACTTTTGAGGTTTCTCTCTCTTCACATTGCTGCCAAAGTTAATAAAACATATTTCCCTTAGTTTCCATTGGCCCAATTAAGATAGCTAAAAAATCTTGAAAAATTTTATCTAAATAGTAAAGAAGAAGCAAAGCAAACAGCTGCCATAGGAAAGACTTTAAATAGTTTTACTTGCATACAAGTTTCCAACCTTAACAGATTTAGCCCACACCTATGGGCTCTAAGACTGGTCTTAGGACACCAAGCACTTCAAAGATATGTATACTAGCCCCAAAGCTTTGTCCAAGTCTTTGTCCCAGCTGGAACAAAGGCTTCTGGTCTCCACAAGGTGGTAGACACCTAGAAATACCCTGCAAGACAGACTGAATAAAAAATATACAAAGAATTGTTCACCTGTAAGAAAACTCAAGTGGCTTAATATATGTGAATTTATGGTCCTAGCAAAAAATAAGAAACAAAAAAATTTTTCTGAAAAAATAATGATGGAAAATTTTCCAAATCTAATGAAATCTATAAACCCACATATCTAAGAAGCTCAACAAACCCAAAGCATAAAAAAGTGGAAAAATACACCAATACACATAATGAAATTTTTTTATTTTGTGATATAGAGAAAATCTTAAAAGTAGGTAGAGGAAAAAGGCACATTATGTACATAGAAACAAAGATAAAAATTACAGCAGACTTCTTATGAGAAACAATGTAAGTCAGAAGACAGTGAAACAATATTGTTAAAGTATACAAGAAGATTTGGGGAAACTATCAACCAAAAATTCTATACTAAGCAAACCTTCTAAAAAATGAAGGTAAAATATGAGCTTTTTCAGACATGTGAAGCCTGAGAAATTTCATGCCAGCAAACCTTCAGTACAAGAAATGCTAAAAGAAGTCTGTCAAGCAGGAGAAAAATGAAGCAAGATTGAAAACTGGATTGACACAAAGTAATGAAGAGCACTGGGGACAGTGAATATATAAATTTATACAAAAGACTTACTCTTATTTTTATAGGTCTCTTTAGTAGCTAATTGTTTAAAGTAAATATAACAATAATATATCAGGTAGTTTATAATATATGTAGAAATAAAGGCATAACAACTATTGAGCCAAGGCCAGAAGTAGGGGGCAGAGGGTAGGAGGATAAATGTGGTATAAGTCATTTGAAAGAGAACTGTGATAAAAACCAAATGTATAGTGTTTACCTAAAGTAACCAGTAAAAACAAACTAGGTTTAGTTTGAAAGTAAAAAACTAGGTTTAGTTTGAAAAACAAACTAGGTTTTATTAAAAAGGGTTAAAATATAATAAAAAATTATTTAATCAAAAAAAAGCAGAAAAAGAGGAAAAGGGGACAAAGAGCAGGTAAATAGAAAACAAAAATGGTAGACTTAAACCCAGCAACATGAAAAATCACATTAAATGTAAATAATCTAAACACACCAATTAAAAGGCAGAGAATGTCAGATTGGATTTCTATAAAAACAGGAACCAATTATATATCCTACACAAGAAATCTATTTCATTTAAATAAATGTTAAAAGTAAAATGATAGGGAAAGCCATGCCACATTAGAACTAGTTAAAATAAAGCTGGAGTGGCCATATTCATATCAAAGTAGATTTCTGAACAAGGACTATTGATGGAAAAAAAGGTAAAAGCATAAATTGATAAAATATAAAAAAATAAAATTGAAAGCCGATTCATTGAAAATCAATGAAATTGATAAATTTCTCACCACAGTGATTAAGTAAAAGAGAGAGATACATATGACCAAAATGTGACCAATGAGAGAAATGACAGAACTAACAGTTCTATAGACATTACAATATAACAGCTTTGTGCCAAAAAATACAACTTAGATGCTATAGATGGATTCCTTGAAAAACAAAAATTAACAGAGTTCACTCAAGAAGAAATCGATAACCAGAACAGTCTTATAGCTATTAATAAAATTAAATTTGTAATTAAAATCCATCCAACAAAGCAAACACCATGTCCAGATGGCTTCAATACAGAATTTTATCAAATATTTGAGGAATATTAATACAAATTCTACACAAACCCTCTTATAAAAGTGAAGCAGGAAAATACTTCCAACTTTTAAAATGAAAAGAGTGCTACCCTGATACCAAAACAGAAAAATACATTAAAATAAATTTTAAAAATGCATACCACTATCTTTCATAAACATAGATGCAAAAATCCTCAACAACATAACAGCAAATATATAAAAAATATATGGCATTCTGACCAAGTGGGTTGCATCTCAGGAATGAAAGGTTCATTTGTTTACAAATCAACTGATGAAAATCAGCATAATAACATTAAAAAATAATGATCTCAATACATGAAAGGAGAAAAAGCATAATTTCAGCATTCAGCCATGAAAAAAACTCTAAGTAAACTCAGTACAGAAGTGAATTTATAGAATGTGATAAGAGACATCTAGAAAACACCCTTTAGCTAGGATGATACATAATAAAGACTGAATTCTTTTTCCCTAAGATCAGGATCAAGACAAGCATATCCACTCTCACCATCTCTATTTCACATATTGGCATTTCACATATTAGACCAGTGCAATAAGGTGAGAAAAACAAATAATGCCATCCAGAATAGAAAGGAAGGTGTGAACTGTTTTTATTCAGAAATGACATGATAATCTGAAGAATCTATGAAAAAAGCTATTAGAACAAATAATTTAGCATATTTTCAGGATATAAGATCAATATACCAAATCAATTATATTTCAATACAATAGCAACAAAAATCTGAATTAAAATTTTTAACAATTCCATTTATAATAACATCAAAGATATGAAATACTTAGAAATAAATTTGATCAAAGATGTATAGGACTCATACAATTAAAAGCACAAAAATTGCTAAGAGAAATTAAAGGACACCTAAATATATATGGCTGGAGGTCCAGGGTGGTCAAGGTGGGGACTAGAGGACCAGGAAGTCTCCCATTTGCATGCAGATAAACTGGAAGGAACAACTGGAGAGCAAGACAGACTGTGCAACCCAGGGTTCCAGCATGGGGGAATAAAGCCTAAAAACACCTGTGAGTGTTGAGGTGGCAGGAGAAACTCCCAGCCTTACAGGAGAGTTCATTGGAGAGACACACAGGGTCCTAGAATGTACACAAACCCACCCACCCAGAATCAGCACCAGAAGGGCCCAGTTTGCTTGTGGGTAGTGGAGGAAATGGCTGAAAGCTGGGGGAGAGCTGAGCAAGTGACATTGTTCCCTCTTGGACCCCTCCCCCACATACAGTGCCACAAGATAGCTATGTGGGTTGCCTGCCCTGGTGAACACCTAAGGCTCTACCCGTTACTATGTAACAGGCATGCAGGGACAAAAAAAACTATGGCCCAAATGAAAGAACAGATCAAAGCTCCAGAAAAAATACAACCAAGTGATGAAGATATAGCCAACTCATCAGATGCATAGTTCAAAACACTGGTAATCAGGATGCTCACAGAAATGGTTAAGTATGGTAGCAAAAGAGAGGAAAAAGTAAAAGCTATGACAAGTGAAATAAAGAAAAATGTACAGGGAACCAACCATGAAGAGAATGAAAATAGGACTCAAAACAACAGTTTGGACCAAAAGGAAGAAATAAACATTCACCCAGAACAGAATGAAGAAACAAGGATTCAAAAAAAAAAAAAAAATGAGGAGAGGCTTAGGAACGTCCAGGACAACTTTAAACATCCCAACATCTGAATCATAGGGGAGAAGAGGAAGAACAAGAAATTGAAAACTTATTTGAACAAATAAAGAAAGAGAACTTCCCTAATATGGCAAAGGAAATAGACTTCTAGGAAGTCCAGGAAGCTCAGAGAGTCCCCATAAAGTTAGACCCAAGGAAGCACACATCAAATCACATAATTACATTACCCAAGGTTAAAGAGAATGAGAGAATCTTAAAAACAGCAAGAGAAAAGGAGACAGTTATCTATAAAGGAGTTCCCATAGGGCTCTCAGTGGATTTCTCAAAAGAAACCTTGTAGGCAAGAAGGGACTGGAAAAAAGTATTGGAAGTCATGAAAGGCAAGGACCTACATCCA